TTCATCATTTGTGTGTGCACATTTTTTTTATGCAAAGTTCATATAACATAAAATTAACCATTTAAAGTGGGGAATGAATGGGCTCCCTTTATGCCGTCCTTAATTCAGTGGCATTTAGTTCGTCCATCTAGTTCCAGAACATTTTCATTATCTCAAAAGGAAACCGGTACCCATGAGGCAGTCACTCCCCATTCTCCCCTCCCCCCAGCCCCTGGCCAACGCTAATCTGCCTTCTGTCTCTTGATTTGCCTGTTCTGGACATTTCATAGAAGGGGAATCATACACTATATGGCCTGTTGGGTTTAGCTCCATCCTTCATGTTTGAACCCAAGGTGCCCCCTTCTCCCTGTCCAGCTGAGAACCATCATGACTGACCACCCAGATCAAAGGCATGAGATGAGGTGGGAACGTGTGGCAGGGCAGGGGAAAAAAGCCATGAGAGCAAAGAGAGAGAGAGGAGGTGGAGAGGGGAGGGACTCACAGGTGGCCAAGGGCACAAGGGTCTGGGGATAAGGGCCCAAGCCTGGCACCCGGGGCGAATTACGAGATCACCAAGCTCCTTCCCATACAGGACACCAACTGTTCCTTCTGCCTGGACGGATGTGTCCTTCCCTGGCTGTCTCCTGATGATTCCCACCTCAAATGTCCTTTCTCAAGATAGTTCTTTAGACCACCGCTCCACAGGGACCTCTCCCTGGTCATCCTCTCCCCCACTGCCATGTTTCGTCTTATTTAATCACTGAACTAACTCACATTTCACCATCTCTCATGGAGTAAAACTCTAAGAGAGCAGTAACTCTATTTTGATTACATTGGGTTTCCCCAGTGGTTTCTAAAACACACCTGGCACCAATGAGGGCTCAGGAATGACTGGCGCCATGTGGCAGCAGCAGGTGCCACATGGGTCTCCCTTCAAGAACTTGCTGTTCAGCTGCAGGAAGTATAGGGAGCTGGCAGCCTCCGCCTGTTAGCACCTCAGGGTCTGTTAGCACCTCTGACCAGTGACAGGAGCACAGGGCCTGGCCATCTGCTGGGTGGTGTTTGCTTGGAAGCTCCCACTGGGCTGGCCTGGACCTTATCAGGCCTGAGCACTGTGTGAGGGTCTCTGCCTGCACCCCCCTTCCCTTCCTCCTCCTTAATGCTCTCCCCCTCCAAACCTCTTGCACTCCTAACTCTGTCACAGAGTCTATGACCTCAAGGACCCAAACAGCACCACCTTGATTCCCCATGAGCCTCTGAGATCCACATATAATAGCTTGGGTCATGTCCCTTGAAGCTGAGTTAAGAGCCATCGCCTGTGTACTTTCTGGGTTCTCTGCAGGTGCAAATGGCTGGCTGAAGGTTGCTGCCTGGCCCCCTCCCTGATCCTCAGTTGGTACCTGCATCCCTCCACAGGGGTCAGAGGCAGGACCTGCCAACCAACCAACCAGTGAGACTGTCACATTGCTTCTAAGGCAGCGGTTCTCAACCTTCCACAGGGGTCGCCTAAGACCATTGGAAAACACATATTTTCGATGGTCTTAGGAACCGAGACACTGCTCCTCTATCCGTCTCCAGGCCCACATGCAGATACGCCTACATACGAGTACCCGGCGACCCCTGTGAAAGGGTCATTTGACCCCCAAAGGGGTCACGACCCACAGGTTGAGAACCGCTGCTCTAAGGTAAGGGATGCTGGGAGACCCAGGGAGGCCTGGGGGCCCAGCTGCCGACCCAGCACTCTCCTGGATGTCCCCCTCCACCTTGGACTCTACATGTCCAAACTCAACACCTAACCTCAATACCTGCACCTTCTGGGCTCTCCTCTTAGCTTTCCCACCTCTGCATAAGAGGCCCCCAAGAGGAGGGGACACCTGAGCGCTGGCCGATAGGAAAGGCTCTCCAGGGGTCCCAGGCTGCGCGCACAGCAGGCGCAGAGGCTCAGAGATGAGAAACAGCCTGGTCAGTGAGAGCGCGCGAGTGAGCAGGTCCATGAGGCTGGAGGAGGGGGGACAGACGAGGCCAGGGGGCCAAAGGGGCCCTGCAGATCAGCTAAAGAGTCTGGACTCTGAGGGCAATGCCCCCCAGATGTCCATGTTCTAATCCCTAGAACCTGTGATATGTCACATCACCTTACATGACAAAGGGGACTTTGCAGATGTAATTCAATTAAGGGTTTTCGAGACTGGGAGGTAATCCTGGGTTATCCAGGAGGGCCCAATGTCACCCCAGGGTCCTTATGAGGGAGGCTGGAGGGTCAGAGTCAGAGATGTGAGGATGGAAGCTGAGGTCAGAGTGAGGCCCTTTGAAGACGGAGAAAGGGGCTACAAGCCAAGGAATGCAGGAGGCCTCTGGAAGGTGGGACCAACATGGAAACATTCTCCTCTAGAGCCTCAGAAGGAAGCAGCCCCGCCGACACCTCAATTTTAGCCCGTAAGACTCATTTCAGATTTTTGACCTCCAGAACCAAGACAAAATAAGTTTGGGTTGTTTTAAGCCACTCACTCTGTGGTCATTCCTTACAACAGCCACAGGAAAGCCAATGGGTTCTGAACTGGGGAGGGGCCTGGTCAGGTGCGTGTTTTAGGCAGGTCACCCAGAGCTGGTGGGAGGGCCCAGGCTGGAGAAGCATCTTCTGCTCCCTCAGCTCTGCCTCCTGCCTCAGTGTCCCTGCTGCCACCTCCTACCTTAGTCCTGCCCATACTCAGCCTTCCTTCCACGGAGATTCTCGGAAAGTCCAGCCTGCTGACCACCCACCTTGGCACATCCATCTGCCCTCCTGCTGGGGCATCGCTCACTGGGGATCAGGTGTCTGTCTGCCCTGGCCTGAGCTCCTGACCACAGTGCAGGCATCTTCAGACCAGAGGCTGGCCAGACACCCCTCAGTGACCCCTGTGGGGCTGGATGCACAGCAGGGCACTGTGGATGGTGGGGATGAACAGATGAATGCACGTGGGACCAGGCTGGGCCTGGGCGGGGCTCACACCAGCTAGCTTAGGTTTCGATAGTGATTCTGTGTTGGATTAAAATGTTCTTTTGAATAAATAAATGAGTGCCAAGAGCATACTGGTAAAAAAAATCTGGCCACCGGTAGGCCTTTCATTCATTTCTAATGCTAGTTAGACTTCGTTGCCCCCAGGCAGGATAAAGCAGTTGATGCATCATAATTCAGTCCTGTTTACTGCTGGGATCTTGAGAATGAATGAGCCATGGAGAGAAAAGCCCTTCCCTCTGAGAGGAGAGGGGCGCTGTCAGGAACGACTGGGGATGAGGCCCAGGGATGTGAGGTCATCCTGGCCCCTCTGCCAAGAGTGCCCTCACCTGCTCATTTGTGCAATGCCTCCCCAGGTGGTTGGAGGGCCTGGCAAGAAGTCAGGCTCATTAAAAATTAGCCACCATTATGATCCTGTCTGGTGATCCCCGAAACCCAGCCTGAGTCCCCTCCCAACAGCATCCACTGCCGGGGGCGCTGGAGAGGAGCCGCTGATGCTGCGGCCACATCCTTGCCCCCCGGGGGATGCTGGCTTCCAGATGGTGTCCTGCCCTCCTGGACAGGGAGGACCCGTAGTAGATTGAGTGGTGGCCCCCCAAAAAGACTTCCTCTGGAATCTGTGAATGTATTATTTGGAGAAAAGATCTTTGCAGATGTAATTAAGTGAAGGATCTTGAGATAAGGCCATCCTGGGTTATATTGGGCCTGAAATCTAATGACAAGTGTCCTTAAGAGACAGACTTCTTAGGAGAGGAAAAGACACAGGGAGAAGGCCATGCAAAGGCTGAGGTAGAGACTGGCGGAGGCAGTCATAAGCCTAGGAAAAGAAGGTGCCCCTTTTGGCCTTTTGAGTAAATGTTTTTACTCAAAAGAGTAAGAGGCCCAAATGCTGGAGCTGAGTTCTGGGGTCCCTGGTGGGAGCCAGCTGTAGCCAGGGCCTCGACACTGTAGCCACCAGAGTGACTGGTTCCACATGTGCATGTGACAAACTCTCTCCAGGCTCAACCCCTGCCTGCCTGTGACATTAGGACATAGGACGGCAGGGTCTGCCCATGTGTCCTCCTCATCATGCCCAACCCCACCTCAATCTCTGTACTGCAGGTGGACTCGCCTTCCTGAGTGCCCGGCTGTGCCTGGCTTCCACCCACCCCACGGCTTTTGCACCTGCTGTTCCCTCCACCTGGACCACTCTCCTCTCACCTGACCCCTCATCCAGCAAACTCCTAGTCCCTCTTCAGAGGCCTCAGGGCAGTGTCCAGTCCCTCGCCTAGGACCAGCGTCCCTTGTCACAACTCTCCCATCATCAGCCCAGTACCTCTTCTTGGGGGCGGGCACTGGCACCCCTCCCTAGACCCATATCCTTTGTCACAAGCCATCCTGGCACCAATGCCCTCCCTTCAGGTCAGCTATTCATCCTCACCTTTAGTTATCTGCTTACAGTCTGCTTCTACTGATGTGAGACCCCAGGGGAACAGCCCATAATTTTTACTCCCCTCTGTCTCCCTGGCAACTGATGAAGTGCATGTCATACAGTAGGACCCCAATTTCTAAAGTGGCTGTGTAAGGACCCCCAGTCAGGGATGGTGGTGGCTCTGGGCCCTGCCTACATCCCCTCATGCCGCCCAGCAAAGCCAGGACGCCGGGCAGGGGTGCCCAGGAAGGCCTGATACCCCTCACCAGCCAGCTCCTTCTCCACGCTGGTCAGTGGCTGCGCGCCGTGCTGGTTGTTCATTCGGCCTTTGTACAGGATCCCGTCCACTCCCAGGATGTCCACTTCGGTCTGTGGGATAGCCCGAGCCCCAGGTCAGGGAGTGTCCTCGAGCCTCTTTAGTACACATGGAGGCCCAGCAGAGAGCACGGCCTCCCTGGGGTCACCCACCACCCAGGCTGCGGCCTGACTCACTGTGTCATAGTCCAACATCTCAGGGTCCCCGTAGGGGTAGAGGGTCGACAAGTTATAGGACTTGAGCTTGCGGTTGGCATCGTTCCCAGGGCCATCACCCCAGTCCTCCTGGTTTCCAAGGTCCTGGAGTTGCTGTAGCCTGTGCTGTTCCCTGGGGCAGGGCAGTAGGGTCAACAGCCACCTGGAGACACCTCTGCCCAGAGGAGACTCAGGATGGGCCCTGAGGAAGGGAATTTCTTCCAGCTGAGTTTGATGGTGCAGCCAGGCAGGCCTGGGGCCTGGTGGGTGGACACGAACAGGCACAGTGGGGCAGAGGGAAAAATGGCTCGTTCCCCTAGAATCTAGCCACCCCTGGAGGCCTGGTCTGGCCTGCCAAGTGCATGCTCTTAGCCTCTTCATCTCCAGGAGTCGGGCAAGGGAAGTGAAGACATTTGGGGCACAGGTTCCCATGTCCCTCGCCTTCATGTGGCTGTGGTTACTGTTTTGTCATGTATTCCCTGTTGGAAGCTGGGGGATATCAGAAGGGTGAGGGGTGGAGCTGGGACCCGGGGTGCCAGCTGTGCCCAGTGGAAACCCTCAGGTTTAGGTACCAGCTCTGCCACTCACTGCCTATGACCTTGGGCAGGTCACTTAAATTCTCTGAGCCTCAATATCTTCAACTGTGAAACAGGATGATAACAGCATACACCTCAAAGGGCAGGTGTAAGGATTTAATGAGGTCAGGTATGTCAAAATGCTTAGCGCAATGTCTGCCCAGCCACAGCAAGCCTCACGGAGGACCCACCATACTTACTTACGTCCTCCAGCGGGAAGCGGGCATATTAATCCTAGCCCGGAGGGGGTCGTGAAATTTCAATGAGAAACCCTCCCTACCCATAATAGATGCCCAATAAAAATGTCCATTCCCCTCCCATGATCATCTCCTGTGCCCCTCTGCTGCCCCAGCCACCTCCTGGAACGTCTCCCTTGCAGATGTCTGGCGGTGCCTTGGGTCAGTCTTTGGATCCTGGGACTGGAGTTTACATTTCTGCAGGGCTCTGGAGTCCTGAGTGACCACCGTGGGGCAGATGCTCAGCCTGCTCACCTCATTTGTTGCCACTGCAGGTACTCGTAGCTGTTGGCAGTGGCAGGCCGCAGCTGAGACAGCAGGTGGGCTCTGCGGATGGTGATGAGGTGCCTGTTGGAGGACAAGAACTCAGTGGGAGGCATACGTGGCTAGCAGAGTACTAGGCTCCCACCTCCTCCAGGAAGCCTGCCCTCAAATGGGGCGGGAACAAGGCAGCCCTGCAAGGGCTCTGGGAAGCCCCAGTAATCTTTAAAAAACAGTTGTCTGATTATAAAAGTGAAAACCAGAATAGGTAAGTTCTAGAAACAGGACACAGACTAAAGGCTGCCAGGGTCTGGGGGGAAGGGGAATGGGAGTGACAGCTAACGGGTAAGGGATTTCCTTCTGGGGTGATGGAAATATTCTGCACAACACTGTCAATGTACAAAACGCCACCGAGTTGTTCACTTTAAAATGGCTAATTTATGTTATGTGTATTTTACCTCAATTAAAAAAATAACAATAAAGTAAAAACAGCAGCCTTCTGAGGAGCTGGAACTATTCTGTATCTTGATCTGCGTGGTGGTTATGAAGGTGTACACACGTGAAAAACTCATCAAGCTAGAAGCACTCACATACCTTATGTATTTAAGGCACAGTAAAATTTTAAAGTAATACACATCAATTGCCAGCATTTTAGGAGGCATAGACAAGCACAACTAAACAAAACAAAATACTATAACCATGGGACAAATATTTTGCTATGTGTTCTTCTAGTGTTTTTCCATGTTTATGTATTATTTTAAACAAAAATAGGAACATAACACACCTACTACTTGATTTTCTCATTTACGTCATTATAAACATCTTTCCAAGTCATTCCATATGCTTCCACGACTGTGCTATCCAATGTGGCTATTCACATTTAAATTAACCTAATTGAAATAAAATTTCAAATTCAGTTTCTCAGTCGAATTAGCCATCTTTCAGGTGCTTAACAGCCATGTGTGGCCAGTGGCTACTGCACTGGACATTGTAGCTGTAGAACATTTCCGCATCTCAGACGGTTCTATCCTATGGTGTTCTATAACATGATCCCTACTGGCTGACAGGAATGTGCTATCACTCATTTACCACTTCAGGTTTTCTTCTTTTACTATTAGAAATAATGCTGCAGCTAGATATCTGTTGTTTAAAGGAAAAATTCTAGATATATTAATAGTTCCAAAGCCCCTCCATGACCGTGGACTAGCACGGTGGTGTTGACAAGCTTCCCGGGCAGGCTGGCACCGAAAAGGCCGTGGGTCCTACAAGATCCTGCTCTTGAACCATATGAGGGTGTTGTCTGGTGGCTCCTTGAAAAGTTAACCCCAGAGTTCCCATATCACCCAGCACTTCCACTGCCAGCTTTACACCCCAAAGAACTGGAAACAGGTGTTCAAGCAAATGTATGTACGTGCACGTTCATAGCAGCACTATTTACAAAGGCTAAAAGGTGGAAACAACCTAAATGCCCATCAACGTATTAATGGATCAAGACAATGTAGTCTCTCCATACATAAAACATTCTGCTCAGTGAAGGAAACTAAATGCAAGAGACCACATACTGTATGATTCCATTTTATGAAATGTCCAGTGCAGGCAAAAATCCAAAGAAAGTAGATTCGAAGTTGTCAAGGGCTGAGGGGAGGGGCAATAAGAGTGACTGTTTAATGAGTCTGGGGTCTCCTTTGGGGACAATAAAAATGTTTTGGAATTAGAGGTGCTGGTTGCACATCATGGTAAATAAATGAAATGCCACTGAATCGTTCACTTTAAATGGATAATTTTATGTTAACTTCACCTCAATAAATAAAGTATTAGACTATAAAAATACATGCAAGAAAGTCCCCCAAAGTCTGCTTTTTACGTTTCCTTCCATCCTTTCTCTTTTGGAGTTGACCCTGATATAGTGGGCACCAGTCAGGGCTGGTGAAGGAAGGGATGACAGTGACCCGCCCAGGGACAAGGAGCAAATGAAATGACATCTACAGAACACGTGTGTGGATATTCATATAAATGGAACCCCACAGGCACATGGGGGGAGTGTGTGGTAGTGGTGATGGTGGTGGTGATGATGGTGGTGATGGCGGTGGTGTATGTCCAGAAGAGAGATGGCGCCCCCTGGAGACTGTACTCACGGGCCAGTCATCATGTCCACCGGCCGGTCACAGGAAATGCATTTCACTCGCTCAAACAGTTTCCTGGAAGACATCCAGTCGTCAGCTGTGGCACCCCAGCCATGCCCTGCAAGGCCACCCCTTCCCCAGACAATGCTTGGGGGAGGCTGCAGATCTGTCTATGCCTCAGGGCCAGGACTTCCTCCCCCACACTATGCCCACTGGCCTGGGTTCAGCTCAGCTCAACTGTGCCCCTGCTGACCCCATGTTTGGTCTCCTGGGACAGAGGTGGGAAGTACAAGCATGTGCAGTTGATCTCCCCGCCCCAAACATAACGGAGGATTTTAAAATCAGGGGCCTTCTGGAAAGCTACCCTTCATGGTGGACGTCCAGGGCATGAGGCGTGATCTAAGGACAGGAGCCCCCAGGGACACTGAGTCCCTCTGCCTGGGGTACTGTCTGGGTGGGAGTAGGGGGCCTGCCTCTGGGCCCAGATCCACCCAGCCTCCCACTGCATGGCCCCTTATCTCTCTGAGCCTCACTTTCCTCATTTGTGGCGGAAGGATTTTGGAGTAGATAATGCTCCTAGAGCCCCCTCTGCCAGCCAAGGCCAGAGCTGCCCACCCCTGAGTGCCTTGGTGCTCTCAGTTCCATCCCAACCCCTTTCCACACCCAGCTGGAAGCCCTGCCCCCTCTCCCTGTGTCCACAGATCTGGAATTCTTGCTCCCAGAATCCTCTGGGATCCCTTTCTCGTTTCCTCCCTGGAGAGAGGGTCTCCCAACCTCCGCAAGCTCTACCCCTACCCAGGAGGGGCTCACTTCCTAAAGCCAGCAGCGCTGTCGGGGTCAAACCGGAGGCCTTCCATCAGCAGCTTCATGACTATTTGATAGACCTCATCTATGTCTGTCTTTAGATCGTCCAGATCCTTGCGGACCAGCTAGAATAGCCAAAGTGAAGAAAAGAGTGTTTAGTCAATTAATTCACACCCTGCCTCACTCCAAAAAAAAGATTTGCAGCAATGTGCAAAGTTACACAGAGTATAACAAGATTCAACAGAACAAGGGAGGTGATTAAGGAAAGGAAATCTACGAAAGCTTGGGTTAAGGTTTGTACCTTTAATGCATACTATTGCTAGAGGGAAGCTGCCAAGTGAGCTTCCCAGCAGCCAAGGCAAAGAAATATCATCAGTTACTGCCTCCAAACAATAAAACCCACCCTATGCTCAACTGCAGGCCTGCAAGCTCGAGAAACATTTTTTTCAATGGTCCTCAGACACCTGATGTTCACACATTCAACACTTATTTACCGAGTGTAAAGTCTACTTACTGACACTTAGTATGTTCACATAATTGTGCAACCATCACCACTCAATTTTAGACTATTTTCATTACTCCCAAAAGAAACCTCATACCCATTAACAGTTACCACTCATTTTCCCCAAACTACCAGGAGGAGGCAACTACCAATCTACTTTCTTTCTTTTTTTGTTGTTGTTTTTTTTAGCTGAGCCATCCTGCCACCTGTTGGCAGCTCAGTGGCAGCTCAGCTCGGGCCGGGACCAATCTACCTTCTGTCTCTATAGATTTGCCTATTCTGAACAGTCTTCGTTCAGAATAGATTTCTTTCTTTTAAAG